GGGTCCTTGGGATGGATATCGCTCCTCCCCGTTGTGAGCCAAGATCGGCGCGCTGGTCCAACACAGGCGATTGCCAGGATGCGGTAGAGTACCTTAGGGTGAACTGCCGCATTTACCTGCTAGACAGTGTCCTCATCCAGCTTCACGCCCGGTTCGGACAGCCACAGCAGCAGTCACTCAAACTCTGTGACTTGCTTTCGGCAAGTATCAGGAGCTGGACAGCGATGAAGCCGACCGTGACGCGGTATGCACGGTTTCTGGACTCCGTATCAGCCGTTGAGGATGAGCACAATACTTAGCTGGAAATGTGGAAAAGTGCTTCCCGACATTCACAAGCTCATCCGGCGGGGGGGGGGGGGGGGGGGCTCGCCGCGCTGCCGGTGTCAACGGCCAAGCCGAAATGGCTGCCCAGCCTCTGCAACCTCCTAGCGGTGTCGGTCAGGTCCACGATGACCACAGAGCGCCTGAAGGTCTTCTGCACTCTGCAAGCATACCGGCAGTCATTCGGCAACAATGTGACTGCCGTTCTCCCGGAGCTCCGTTTGCGAGGCTCCCGGCCCCGAAAACGGGATCTCGGTCTTTCACAAGAGGACCGAAAAGCATTTGTTACTTTGGCTGCAATGTAGGTTTGACTTTGTTGTCTATCCAAAACACCAAAGCAGTCAAATTGGCACACTGGCTGTTACAAAGGGATGTTCGTCTTTGAATGCTAGAGTAAATGCTAGAGGTGACTCACACTGCCAGTGGATTGGTCTGAGAACATCTCAATCTATAGAATGCAATAATTTTATGTCCACAAGTTAATTATCCGAGTGTGCATTTCTTAAAGTTAGTGCTAGCAACCGGCTGAAAGCAAAACAAAAACTGATTCCATTTTATAACCTAAGAATTTGCTCTGCAAGCTGGATGACAGAAAATATGAGTTCCTGTTTAATGTGCTGTACGTGTGATCTGGAGATCCAAGGCACCAAAGAAAAACCAATAAGATTACTTTGTGTTGCAACGTCATCGCAGCCAGGACCGACCGTGCGAGCCCACACTACACGTCACTCGCGTTAAGCAGAGGTTGGCTTATGTGATATGGTAATCTCTTCTGGTACAGATTAGTTAGCCAAGTATACACATCGCGTGGTTCTTTTCAGCATTTCACAAAATGGAGCAGCCCAAATTAGCGTTCTTTTGGTGTAGAGTTGGTGCCCCCTTGATTTAAATTGGTGCCCCCGGACACGGTGCCCCTCCGATCGAAATTACAGGATCCACCCCTGAATACATTCTTTTTAGCCCAAATAACGCTAACTGTACACCTCATCAGTCTCCGTTTGCTTGACTACAACCACCCCAAAGCCGGGATGATGTGGACCCACAGACTGCCATGTGTACGAAGCTTATGGACAGCATGTGCAGCCGCGTGGACTTGGTTCATGGCTGGCCTTATTTTGGCCTCTGTCATGACTTGCTCAGCATTTGTGGCAATATTTGTGCATGGTATCAATAGGTGAACTCAACTTATTTGCTGCAGCTCCCCGTAACACTGTGTTTTAACCTCGCCAACAGCAAGATTACACGAGGAGCGGTAGCAATTTTAACAATTTTTCAGTCGGCTCCCATGGAAACAATGCTAAATTTTGAAAATGGGTGCTCCCCTCTCCTTCTTAAGCGACCGCGCTACTGCGTAGTTGCATTCTCTTCCCACGCCGATTGAGCATTAAGCACGGGAAATGTTGATTTACCATTAAATGCCTCAGATACCTCCACCTCCGGAAGCCGGTGTGTTTTCTTTTTCCGGGACCACTTACAGCCTGTTAAATATCTTAGCGACTTGGCGGAGGCGACCGCCGGACAGAAGAAATATAGCGACATTTCAGAACATATTTATAGAACATAGTAAACAGATGAAGTATCGAATATAATAAGACAAATGAGTATTTCACCAAAAAAGGTCGCAGTTATGCAAAGACAAAAAGTAAAGCGAATAATGCCAGATGGAATTGCCACACGACCAACAAGAAATAGCACGACCGTGACGCGGAACCAGTGGCAACCAAGTGGCAACCAAGGCGAGGGTTCGGCGCAGGAGCCGCCCGGTCCGGCAGTGCGACAGAGCCAGCTCCTCACATGGTGCGTGCTTAGCGAATAGGTCCCTCCGTTCATCCCCCCCCCCCCCTTTAACTCAGGCTGCAGTTTATATAGTCCTGTGCAGGGTCACCGTGGGACGTCAGGGTTGAACAGGCGCGCCATTTGTATAGAATGTTCTATGTAATTCTACACGTGGTGTCTATAAATGCTATTCTTATGTCTTCTCTAAAACGCTCAGGTACAAAAACACCCGCAAACAATCATGCATAGGACAATTTCACTTGCATCGCACAATCGTATCTAAGATCACTGACAGCGGAGAGTCTCAAAGTCTCCGTAAGAGGGCTGTCCCTCCCCATAGTCTCCTGAAGTGACAAACTGGTCTCAGATGAGACCATGTAGCACAAGATATCATCGTGGAGACCGTGCAGCATCCTTCCAAGAGTACTCGCGGTGTGAGTTCTTAAAAGCGGTTTTTAGTGCAGAATGGCAGCCGGAAGACACTCCGTGGTAGAATGGAATGGTCATTCGGCTCCTGAACTGAGACAAAAATGAGCCCCTAGTGTTCCACTCAATGTACCTCACAGCCTGGAAAAAGGGGTCTCATTAGTGTTGAAAAGAGTGTGTCGGAACTACTTTAGAAACGAACGAGACCATCCCATGTTTGTCCCAAAATGTTCATTCTTTTGCAGAATCGGTCAGTGAAACAAATAACACCAAGACGTTTGAACCAGCGCGCCCGCAATTTCGGGAACAGGGACAGCGATGCTCTGCGTTACAGTTTCCGTAAAACCAAACAGCGTTCGTCACTGAAAGTAACACCACGTACTCAGCACAGCAGCAGCACGAAAATGGAGATTACACTTTAACCCTTCCAGTTTCTACCACCAGATTCTAGCCAGCACCATTTCGCGGTGCTGTAAATGCCAATTTTTTCCTTTCAACCTACAAATCGCATCAGTGAGACATACGCTCCAACTACCTTTTAAATATATGATTCGATGTCCTAAAGCGTTCAAAATGTACTTCTTTCAAATGCGTCATCATTTTTGTCCACCCGTTGGCCATGACTTAGTGTAGCTACAGGACCGACGCTGAACGGCTTGCGGAGACTGTAACGCCTGACGTCGAGGTTTTTATTACTAAACGTTGCGAGCGCGTACGCTCTTAACTACGAACATTACTTGCATCGCTAATGGACTCTGACCTAATGTTCAAACATTTCCAGACAAACCTAGCTTGGCTCAATTAATACAAAGTCCTGACCCGTTTTTATCTACAGCCTACATTTGCGGGGTCCCAGCTGACATTTCTGTAGAACCCAGATAGAAATTATAACAAAGCTTCTGAGTTCTATCGGTGCAGAAAGGGTCCACTGGACTATTGTAAAATGGAGGGCGGCAGTGATATATTTCATGCAATCGTTTAGCGCATAATTTTGTCGGATAATTGACAGTTCGGTCGGAATTTATGTAGAGACCACGCGTTGATGGCCAGCGCTTCGCGGCAGCCCTCACCTTGAAATACCACATGACACTTAGTGGCTACATCCATGCATAGTGGTTCAGTTTTACGCACACTTGCTCCGCCTGCCACACGGTATGGGTGTGCGGACCGGAAGTGTTCGTTTAGCGTTCACCGCGGGGCATTTCCGGTACAGCGCACCAGGAAGGGAAAAACATGTTCGCTGCACATTTATATTATATCAATAGCCGTAATCAAAGTCCAAAGCTTCTCGAACTTAATCCGTAACTCCCCAGACCCAGACACAGTCTTTCGCTTTGGCAGTAGCCTGCACAATGAATAAAGATCGATTGCACATTTTATACGAGTCATGTTTCTGCGTGCAGTCATTTACCAGCACATCAAGGAACCCCCGTAAAGGTCGCAGAGTCTCGCCCTCTTTGGCCCGTCCCCAGGAACCTATTCCACCTATTCCAGAGTGGCCGCGGTACAGAGCGCTTCGATTGGCCGAGGTCCACGACTTGCATAGGGTGAGCACCGGACTGATACAAGCCTTTCCATCGCGCATGCGCACCACCCCGCTTTGGCACCTGGAACACCTGATTCGGAGCTCTTTCCATCGCTCGGCGACCTGTCTCGGCTTTCCGAGCCAGCGCGGCCGCCACCTGCCATTTAGCGCGAGTTCTCCGAATCACCTGAACCTTGATACCGTTTACAGCCGAGACTCGCGCCATGCACAAAGGACGGTGCCCGTCTACCGTTCGAAGCGCCCGCACGCGACGACCGCGGAACGGCACGCGAGCGTCGCGTCCGCCGCGGGTGCAAATGTTTACATTTATCTTGCGGTAGCTTCTGGCTTCTAATCCAATGATGGAAGAAGAGAATACAAAAATAAGCATGCCCTCACTAACAGATGAGTAATATCTGTCGATGTAGGGACCTTTTACTATCAGGGAGCCCTTCGTTAATCATGTACGCCACGCCCCCCCCCCCCCCCCGCCCTGCCAAGGCTATGGCTGCGCGGCTGGATGGAAAAGTTGAGCGCACGCGCCACGTATAATGTTTTTTGCAAATGATTGCACGCACCTGGGGTCACGTGGTTGACGGCACATATCCATCGACCACAAAATCACGCGTCCTCTAATGGGACCCATGCTGCAACTCAGCTTGTGGCCATTCGAACACTCCGTTTGATCTCCCTTAAATGTGAATCATTCAGAGGTCCAGTTGGTGGCCACGCGACAGATATCTCCCACAGCGCATCAGCTCTATGATGGTGTGTAATTGATGAATTTTATTTTTTTGCTAGATTGTGTTTCAAATCGCTAGGCTTCCCTTTAGTGTTGCAAATGTGGAAAATATTTTCTAAGCAGAGTTTTAGACATTCTTGTCCATCACTACACAATCAGCTAAAGAATACTGCTACCCTTGGTTGTTGAGCATGTGGGCGGACACAGCAGTCAAAGCTGTAAAAATACCGTTGGGTTTGCGCCTGGGGTCGCGTGGTATCCTCCACGTTATATTACGTGAGCATCGTGCATTTTGGTCTGAAGAAAACTTTTAAGGTTTTTGGCAGTGTTTCTTATTGAGTGAGCTGCTGGAATCCAGCAAGCAAGTGTGCAATATAAGATAATATTAAAGGCTTTCTTAGCCGGGTGATAAAAAGTGACATCATTTTACGGTAAGCTCGAGATTGTTGGATTATGCTATCAAAACTTCATGTGGCTTAAAGGACTAGATTAGGATATGTGCTCAAAAGAAGGTGGGACTTGAAAATATGTTTGCCAGGCTCAATTGATGTGTTACACTGAACAGGACTGGCGAGGTGGTGGAACTGCGCTCATCATTTCAGCACATGAATAACCAATATTCCAAAGAATTAGGGTGCTTTGCTGGTTTGAGTTCAAAGTACTCCTAGAAAATCCCAAGAAATTATTAATTTAATACAGAGATCATATCTGGCCTGGCTTCAGGGACACATTAAAAATTTTAACATAGTTTTGTCAGGATGAATCCTTTTATTCCCCTTTGATCTGATAGGAAAGTGCATCATCAAAGTGTAGTCAGGTGCATCCCCCCCCCCACATAAAGCTATCCTCATTAAAATTGTCAATCCCAGCTTGGTTGTGCAGTGTGTACAGCTTAGGAATATCATATCATAAAATTTGTGGTTATATGAGTAGCATAATCCACCTAAAAGCCTCATTCACCATGAGGCATAGGTTTTGTTTCAAGGAAATGTTCCACAATTGAAGATATCAAAGCAGGCATCAGATGACATGAAATAAGCTAGCTTGTAATGCTAAGCATACTTTTGAGTGCTGCTGTTTAATGTCAAGAACATGTAGTTTGAACATGTAGTTAGAACATTATCATAATGGTCAAGGAGAGGGTTTTTGTGTTATTATGGTGTCATGGTTATTGATAAGGAGCAAGCAGAATGGAAGACAAAACAATTCTCTATCTAGCAATATAAAATTAAAATAACTGGAAACAACTGGTCTTCATCACTGAGGATGTCTTTTGACATGGAAAGAAAGTATTGAAACCAAACAGTAGTGAAAGATTAAAAAGGTTATCTGGGCAAACACATGTTTTGTCAATTGTACAAAGAGGCCCAGCAAGGTTTTGTATCTGGGCCAAAACAAGTATTTGTGCAGTTACTCATTTTTTCATGCAGTTGCTAAGCATTTCAAAGGTGATCCAACAGGTTATGAAACCAGGAAGGGATGTCATCATGCCTCTTTCATAACCAATTCAGGGCCAGGGAATGTCTCTGCAAAAGTTAACCACCTGCTGGATGTACTGTCAGACATGGTGTCAGGCATACCTGTTGTGCAAAGCTGGATGAGAGTAGGTTCTTAGTGGTAAGTAGCCATGGTTAAGACCCATGGTATAAACACATCCAAGCTGTAATCCTTCAATGGTTGAAAGACTGCAATGCACTTGTATGACCTAACACTTCTGCTCTGAAAATGTGTATTTGCATGAATTTGGGAACAGATTAAAGAAAAAAAAACATTTTCCAATGTTTGAAACATTGAAGCTGTTCAGTTTACCATAGTTCCCAATGAGGAAAACATGTAACTTCACCCACTGGCACTTTTGACACAGTACTTACACTGATGGCAGGCCACAAAATGGTGTAGGTAAGGCTATGAATGTTTTGACCCTGGAAACAGAATGCCTGGGAACAGGTGAGGCTCACATTTTACTGATGTGTGTCAGTTACTTGTTTCTGTCATTGGAAAAGCTTACAGGCACTCCCTATATGTGAATTGCAATAATATACAACATCTACCAACTTTAATTCCTTAAAATTATTATTTTTTAAATCATGAGCATACACTTTTTACTTGGTCAAAATATGCTGGTCATCAAGATGAATCTAATGATACCAGTAGCTTAATTTAAGGAAACTATTAGTCAGGTGTTTCTGACATTGGATGACAGAGTGGAATCAGCATAATTTCTTTGTTAAGAACTGGTGATGTTAGGTATAAACCAGAGTGCATTTTTCATGGCCTGATAACTGCATAGCCAACAGCAGAATTTTAATGTTTTTGTGTTATGGATGTCTGGGTGACCTTGCAATAGTCCTGAGATATTCTGTACATCTTTGCAGTGTATAGCTTGGAAACTAAATGGTTTTAGGTCTTCAAAGGGGCAGGACTGTGAACTGCACTTAATGGTTTTCATGATGGCCATTTCACTTGAAAAACCCTTGTGAATGTAGAACACCCCCTTCCTATATGTTTTCCTCCTTCCATAATGTGTTGGTTAAGCAACACTTGCCTTTTTAATACACATCAGGATTTAATATTTGAAAACCTATATATAGATCACGGCAGTTTTGTGCTAACATTTGGGCCCCAGAGCTTCAACTTTTTGTTGCCACACTTAGATCTTCATTTTTGAAGTGCACTGTGGCATTACTGCCCTAGAATCTGTATAAACTTTATAGTACATGTTATGTTGATTCTGGTTAATAGTGTTTTTTTGTCTGACAGTGTTGAAGTGAGATGTCCAAGAGAGGTGCTGACAAGCAGCTGACGCATGACAACTGGGACGAAGAGGACAGCGAGACCGACGGCCAGGGCCAGTTCCAGTCGGCCTCAGAGGAAGTACTCAAGAAACGTGTGATCAAGAGGGCCCGTCGCAGGGTCAACCACTCCGACAGCTCGGTATGGGTGATTGCAGATGAATCAGTTTGGTCATTGGTTCAGCCAATTGATTGCATTCAACAGGCATGAGCAGCTAGGTCATTACAGGGTATAGGGAGCTTTCGCATGTGGGAAGAAGGGCTTCTAAAAAGCAATTTGTCTTGAAATGGACATCAGCTCGGTCCTAATGTTCAAGAATCTACAGTTGAATCTGGACATTTTCCAATACAAATACAATGCAAAATTGCATGTGTACTTAATATTAGGCACTACAACTGGGTGCTAGGTGATTGGACGGGACGATACCGTAAGCAGACTGTAGCATCAAGTGCATATACAATAGATGCTTGCATCATTAATTGCTGACTGATGCCTGTCTGTTTCGCATTTCGTCTTGTGCACTGACCTCCTCCCGTTTATCGTGGCAGGGAGCGACAGCCAGTCCGTTCGCCGCTTTCTCCGGGTTCGGCACCGCCTCAAAAACGGCCGACTCAAGCAACCCGTTCGGCTTCTTGGCAGCAGCCAAGGAGCCGCCGTCGTCGCCGGTGGCGTCGGCGGGACTGTGTCGGCCGCCGCTGCGCTCGGCCGGAAGCAGCCCGGCGTCGGAGCCGTCCCGGCCGTCCGAGTACCACCGCCAGCTGCAGGCGCTCAACCGCAGCCTGCTCAGCTGGCTGCAGACGCACGTCGAGAAGAACCCGCTGTGCATCCTGACGCCCGTCTTCCGCGACTACGAGACGCACCTGCAGTCGATCGAGCGTCGGTTCGGGCCGAGTCATGCCGGCGGCGCCTCACCGGCCGCCTCGCCGGCCGCCGCTCCGGTGCCGCGCGCCTCGGCCGCCGCGACTCCGGTCAGCGCTGTCAAGCCGGCCGCCGGCTCTGGCTTCAGCTTCGGCCTGGGCGCCGGGAAGGCGGAGGGTGCGACGACTTCGCCGTCGGCCAGCTCCGGCTTTGGCCTAGAGAAGGCTGGCGACGCTAAGGCGATTTCATCGCCGGCGAGCTCTGGCTTTAGCTTTGGGAAAGCGCCAGATGCCGGCGCCAAGCCGACGGCCGGCTCTGGCTTCAGCTTCGGCCTGAACGCCGGGAAAGCGGCGAATGCGGCGACGAGTTCGCCTTCGACCGGCTCTGGTTTCAGCTTTGGTCTGCCGACGGGCAAGGCGGCGCTCACCACTCCCAGTTCGCCTCCCGCCAGCTCTGGCTTCAGCTTCGGCCTGAACGCCGGAAAGACAACCGGTGCGGCCTCTGACTCGGTTCCGGCTGCCGCAGGCACTGGAGGCTTCTCCTTTGGATTCCAGTGAGTGTGATGGACAAGCGTCGTGTCAGGCGATATTCTGAGCAGCAGGGAGCCGTATGACATTGGGTAGCGATCTAGAACACTCCGCGCCGTGCGCGGTGTGTTCCAGCCTCATCGTCAGGCGTCGTCAGGTGCTAGTCTGTAATGACTCACGTCTCTCGATAGTTAAGTGCGGGTGCCCCGCCTCGGATCCGAGGCTCCAGCGACCAACCGCCGGCGCTGACACTGGCGCTAAGTTCACTGCATCGGTGGCACGCATGTGGCTCCCGAGCGAAATCGTTGCGTGAGTCGTCTCTGCCGCGAGCCTCCACTGCGCATGTGTGCGCACACTGCGCGGTCGTGTGGTCCGGTTGCCAGCGCTGTCGTGCCGTGCCGTGCTGTGTCGTGCTGGTGCGGGCGGGTGCTCTGACCCGCCGCGTCGGCCGTCCCCAGATCGGGCGGCCAGGGCGGCGCTGCGGCCCCGAGCGCTGAAGCCGAGGAGGAGGCGGAAGAGCCGCCCGTGCCTGTCGTCTCCACAGTCAAGGAGGACGACGCCGTTTACTCAAAGCGGTACGCGTCCGGCGGCCAGCGACGGCCCGCTCCTCGTTCACCCGTCACTAAGCTATGTGCTCAGTCAGACAGGCATCCTTTCGTACGTAGGCACAACACGACGTTCAGTTCGGTGTGCGTGCTGGTCCCTATTTGGTCAGGTGGTGGGTATGTAACGTCAGGCAATGTTGAGGCTGCCGTCATCTTGCCTTCATAAGATTTCTGACGCCTTATGGTTGGTTCATTGTCTCATATTGGTTCCTGCGGGTGTGTAAACATACGCGCATTTTGGGCATTTTTTTGTGCTGCCTTTGTGGGCCTGTCCGAAACAAGCTTTCTCGTGGGCGCAAAATGACCATCTCAGTCGTCGCGCCCAAGAACCCCAGTCGCCATCGAAGTAGGCTTTCATAGGCGACTGATGCACTTGGAGAAGGTGTGTCACCCGCATTTAAACGCTTGATTTTGAACTAAGCCGTGTTCTGTACATACTTCGTGCGTTGTCAGGTGCAAGCTGTTTTACAAAAAGGACGGGTCTTTCGTGGAGAAGGGAGTCGGCATGCTGTACCTGAAGCCATGCTCCGATGGGAAGACGTTCCAGTGTTTGATCCGTGCCGACACCAACCTGGGAAACATTCTTCTCAACATTAAACTTAACAAGTGCGTGAGAACGACTACAATGCGGCTTCGGTATTTTTTAGATGCTCGGTTGGTTCCAACCCGGTTTGGCTGCTCGCGCTTTCGAGTGGTGTTTTCAGTGTAGGTGGTTAATGAGCTGTGTTCAAAGAAGCAAAAGTAGGCCAACGTTTTCAGCCCCGTTAAGTTGACAAGAATTGTCAGCGAAGTAGTATTTGTGTCCCTGTCCTTACGGTTGCGAAGATACGTTGCACTGCGTTGGCAAACTTTTCTGCCACAAGAAGCCAACATGCTTTCCGAAATGCTCTCAAAGTCGATACAACCTGAATTATTTGCTGCATTTCATTGTCTTATGAAAATTCTGTTTTTGCTGGCAGTTTGCAACTGTTGTGCCATGATTGTAATGACATTTTGTCCCAGTTAAAGTGTCAGGGCCCAGAAATGGGATCACCTGTTGCATATGTGATTTGAAGGTGTGTCATCTACCTTGGTGTCTTGTGAAGCCATTTGTATTGAACAGCCTAATTAATAAGGCTGCCGATGAGTCTATATCCGTACTATTTGCTGGATTTGGCACTGATTTGTTTGTGTGGTATCAGTGCAATGGACACCGTGGGATCCTCCCCCCCCCCCCCCCAAGAAAAAAACCTGTTTTGGTTGTTGCCCCGCCCATTTCAATGCCAGTATGCTAGCCATCACTGGGCGTTTGTTTATTTTTTCCACCACACTCTTCAAGTTAGCTCTTTGTCATGGCCTCATGAGTCATAGAAGTAAGGGATCCTCCGCATTGTTGGGATATATTGAAACAAGGGTGTGGCACAGCCGATGTGTGGTCTCCAGATGGCATTTGGGGGGGGGGGGGGGAGCGTGGAGTGCGCCGATGTAGGACGGGTCGTGACCCCTGACATGATCCGACCGGAACTGACCTGATCCGACCGGAACTGACCTGATCCGACCGGAAACTGACCTGAATCCGAACCGGAACTGACCTGACCCCGACCCTGCCAGGTCGATCCCGACGCAGCGCCATGGGCAAGAACAACGTGATGATGGCGTGCGTGCCGAACCCGCCGCTGGACCCGAAGGTGACTAGCTCGGCGCCGGTGCCGATGCTGGTCCGGGTCAAGACCGCCGACGACGCCGACGAGCTGCTCGCCCAGCTGGAGCAGCACAAAGCATAGCTGCGCGTCGCCACCCGCTCGCTCGCTTGGTCGACCGTTTTATCAATACATTTCACCACATTGCCCCGTTGTCTCTCCCCGGACCGTGGTGGGCGCGACCTCGGTTGGTTGAGCTGGAAGTCGGCAGAACACGTGCCATTGTCGGGGTTGGATAGGTGTCGCTGCCACGCCATGTGGCTTTATTTTTATCGTAACGCTTCAATTAAGTTAATGACTCGTGAAAGTGAGAATCAGTGGCTACGGCAACGAAATACATTGCAATCATATGTATAATTGGGGCGCGCGTGGTGAACGTGTGTTTGGTTTCCCTTCCTGTCGTCGGTTTGCTGCTGTGTTGTGATTGCAAAACATTCTACTCTTCCTCTTTAGTGGGGATCTGGTTGGGTCCGAGCTCTTTTCCGTTTGCGAGAAAATTTAGTGTACGACTGAGGGCTCGTTTATGGACGCATAGTTAGCACACTTGGTCTTTCCAAAATCGTTGAAGTTCATATATATATATATATATATATATATATATATATATATATATATATATATATATATGTACATTTGTACAGACCGCCCGAGTGCTCCAAGTAAGACACTCAAGAAAGCATGATCAAGCTGGCACCTAATGTAAATTTGTAAAAGGGCGTGCCTACAATAGGCCATATTCTGCTGGTTGGGGGGGGGGGGGGGTCAGAGCCCCTTAGAGCAAGAACAGGCCCTGCGATGAGTACCGTCACAGGTTCGCCTGCGTTGGGTTCATATAGCAAACTAGCAGTTTAATTTCTGCTCGATAAATTGTTTATTGTCATGGCCGCCGTAGCGGCATAATATGGCGCCTTGTTTCCGGCATCATGAAATTAGTTTGCTAGTAACCGCATCGGGTTTAAGGTAACAAGTTGGCTTCTCCCACATCTCTCGTCTGCGGGCAGCATTCATTTCCAAGCTCTTGCTCTGCCAAATACGCAAATGTTTTTGTTATCTTTCACGCTTGCCTTCGAAAGCATTGTTGTTTCGGCGCGTTATAAGCGCACATCAAATCATTTGATGATCTCGCACATTGGTTTCTCTGAGTCATCAGCTTCTTCTCCGTCTCGCCCAGTATCTCGAAGGAATGTGTGCGTGTTCATAAAGCTGTGATGGCATCATTTCCAATTATTGTTTGAGTTGTTTTCCCACTCACGAAGGATATGGTAGCCGTTTCTGGTAGCACTATGCTACGTTCGTGGTGTTTTCGTCCGTTGAAGCGCATCATGTTTTGTGTGCGGTACTACTGCATGAAACTGACCGTACTCGGTGGGAGGGGAGGGGCGGAAGGATAACAAGGTAATATACTTCTATGTTTAGCGCTATCATGCGGCAAAGAATCCAGGTATCTGATAATTGGGTGCTTAACCACATTGTTTAGCGGTATGGGATAGGCATTCATCTTTATGGCTTCTGGGAATGTTTCAGCAGTCTGTTCTCCATCTGCTTAGTCATATTCGTGACAAAGTATGGCATCACTGATGTACCTAAAACCATTTAGGCCATCGTGAAATTATGAGGCTCAAAATATTGAGCATGCTGATTTTGCACGAAGACATGTTATGTGGCATGCAGTATGGGCATCTGACATAGTTAATATGACATTGGAGTGTTCTACACTTATATGGGGTTTTGAACTGTAATAGTTCTATCTTGAGGATCAGTCTGTGCAGTTCACAGGTTTGCTCGTCTTGTCTAGCCCACCGAATTAAGTTTTTTAGTAGATCTAAACCAATCTAGTTTTGGAGCTATTTGGCTGTGAAGATGCACAGGCTGTTTTGGGAAGACTTAAGGCCACCCAGCCCCCTATGTCATAATAACATTGTTCAGATCCTGTCACACCATTGGCCATGCTGCAGTCAGTGCCAAGAAAAAATAATTATTAAGTTGTTTATGTCTGGCATTCATGAGCACTGTATGCCCATGTAAAACACAACTTAATTGGCTGTTAATCAGTATCGTGTGAGGCATGATGGCATCATCAAACAATGACATATTGAGGAGCATATTTACTAGGCAGATAAGGTGTGTTGTCTAGAGCAGTCTCTTGCACTTAAAAGTGTATCAAAAGGTATAAGTGAACTTATTTCATCATATCTGATGCTTGCTGCAAACCTTTAATTATGGAACATTCCCTTTAACCATGCCAGATGTTAAGTGTGGTTGTGTCCCCAGTGGTACCAACATGACACCTCACTGGTGCTGACATCACACATCAGTGGTGCCAACATCACACATCAGTGGTGCCAACATCACACAGCCCTGACTTAGTGTTTTGAGAATCCAGGGCTGTGTTGAAGGTTATTGTGCGTGCTTACAGGGATGCAATAATATGTCCATGTGCATCAACCAGTATGTTCCCTTTGAGGCCAGCAATGGTGTACTTTTACTTGTAACTGTTGTTCAGCCTGCATGCAAATAAAAGACAGGCAGTTTAGATGATGATTATAGTGTCATGTGCCATGGTTTTTAGAAACTTTGCTGGAACAGTTTATTTTTCTGTAGCAATTGTGTACTTTTGGTGTAGCTTTTTAGTATTTATACATGATGCAGCCACCCTGGAATTGAATGGCAGTGGCAGGGTTTACCATGGCTTAAAACCTTCCTTTTCAGAAACATTAAATCTTGAAAATATATTTGGGATGGCTGCTGTCACAGAGCCACTTACATTACAAAGGGGTAAGTCATCTGGACATACTAAAAGTGGTTATGGATGGTGGAGCAGGTGCTTCTGATGACTGATTCCAGTCATTTTGGATGCATTTAAGTGTGATAATCAGTTTTTGGAATTCCATGCTGTTAATGATAAAAAAACATTATTTCTGTGAAATGCTGTTGACAGTCATTTTCTACAGTTCAAGATATGGCTATGCAATTTTCATGTACACATGTAATTTGGCATTTTATCTATGCATTCTAATGAGTTATTGTTGATAACAGTGATGTATTGGTCCATTTCAGATGTCAAGAGGGCAGTAGAATTGCTGGATAAACTTCAGAAAAGTAAGCAGTGCAGGAAAAGTGCCATTTTTGTGGTATTTATCATTTTCCATGGTACCACACAGCTCTTTACTACAAACACAAAAAATGTACATCTTTAACTACACACAGTTTTTACCTCACTGAAAGTTGCTGTGCACCATTGCTGTTCTGCAGCTTTTTCCATGTTGAGCCCTACACATTTTAAGGTGAATTTGAGCCCTGTTTTAAGATGCTGCTCAGGTTAAAGCATATTCAGATATGCTCAGGCACTTTTTCATCATTCATACAACAATTATCTACTCTAAGCTGAAGGTGTGCTCAGAAACAAAATGAAAAGGTGATGTTTCCACCCAAATCCCCTCAAAGATTCTCTTTAAAACATTATCTTTTTTTAAAATTCAGTACCAGGACCCAAAATTTGCTTCAATGGCATTTCATGTTGTGGTTCATTTTTTTTCTTTTTATCATGTGGCTGCAGTGCTCTTCTGCAGTTTTTGAGTGCATGTTCACATAAACTCTGTGTTCTTACAGCGGGCGAGGTGCCCACGGCCAAGCTGGCGGCACTGCAGAAAGTGCTGCAGTCAGACTTCTTCAATGCTGTCAGGGATGTGTATGAGCACGTGTATGAGACAGTGGACTTGGCTGGATCGCCTGATGTCCGCGCCTCTGCCACGGCCAAGGTAACTTGGGATGCTGGAAGCTCCCCAACATCTCCCTCATCAAATGTTTTAATGTCAACTGGTTCTTATCCTGTGACAGGAGACCTATACTGTGTGGAGCTCTGCTATTGGTAGCTCATTGACATGGCATTGCATAGGTTTTTGCGTTGAACGTGACCGCATTTTGCGGAGATTTTGGCCATCCTTCTGCTCTTTTAGGATTTAGTCGTCATATTGAAGAAACTTAAGTGACTTCAAGCTAGGCCGAAAATTCGTTAAATGACTGGACACTCTCCCTTAAAAGATAGATGCACCAAATGTCTCTTGACTGATGACATTACAGGTTTCATGTAATGCCTAAACAGGCCGGAAAGTCGGCAAAGAACTCTGCCGTCACAAGGCAGAAAGCCATATCTCCGAGTTTTTACGATCATAAAGTTGCTCAGAAAGACAAAAAAGGGGTTTCTCCCATATTGAAGGGTAAAGTAAGCACAGGCAAGGGCAAAAATACACCATTCTGACCGCGTTTACATGGCCAATCCTAAGATAACGTTTTTGAGACGCTTAAACGTAAGGTTTTTAAATTAAGATGCAAAAATGTTTTGCCTTGCGGAAAGAGACGTCACCCATGGGACAATCCGGCAGGCAAAAAGCCGTATGTGTCAAAAAGCCGTATCTTGGAGTTTCGCGACTGAGTCATGCGGTGGATTTCGCAGGCAAAACGCTGTATCGCTTAACCCTGTACATATTTTACATTGCGTGGGGGCAATAATGATTCGAGATATAGGTGAAAATAATGCTTCGGTGTTGAATTGAGAGACAAAATTCGCCGGGCCCGATGACCCGTACCCAACATGGCCCGGCCTGGCCTACCGTGAGTTTTGGGAAGTGATAAACACCGGATCTTGTGACCGTTCTCTTCATACAATGCTTTACGTTAGGTAAGGTCACGTCCGGTACTTGCATTTGTTTGCACTTGGGACCCCGAATCCAAGCAGAATGCTGCATTTCGGGCGTGGGGTTTATTAGTGGATGGGTCTGAAAATGTCGCCAGATTGCCAGCTCCAGCGGAAGCTGAGGGTTAACTGAAAGACTGCCTCATACTTATCGAATGTATTGCCAACAGATGTAAACATTAAGCAAATGCAATGACACCGCAGGCAACCTGATAACCATAAAATGTATCACTCACTGCCACTGAGCCTCATCACCTTTCTGCCATCAAGCCCCAGAATGCATCAAACGGAACCGCCCTCACGTGTTCCGCTCCTGAACGGAACACCTAACTGATGCTGATGGAAAAGTCTGGTAACAAGCGGTGTTACAGAAAAAAACAGATACACAAACTACATCACAAAACCATACCCAAAATAACAGATCCACAGCCGACGTGCGTTGCAGTATTAGGAGCTTCGAATGGAAGGAGCAGTTATCAAACACGTCCAGGGTCATCAGGAGCCCTGTATGATTCGCTTAGTCGTTCAGCTCCCGAGCGGACGAACCGGTCAGGCTCTCCCAAAAGGCACGCCTCTGTGGCGGCAGCAGTGGGAGGAGCTGCTGCTTCAATGTCTCCAGCTTTGCTCTGTTGACACCGCGCGGACGCATCTTTGCCGCTGGCTGTTCCCGTGGGAAGAATGTCGTTTTTGCTAGGTCGAACGCACGCCAGCTGTTGGGTGAGTGGCTTGCTTTGGTGAACACCAGGTCCTGGCCACGGCGAACCTGGATCACCTTGCATGAGGTCAGATATGGTCGGCAGTTTTCCTCGGTTAGGAGCTTCAGCTTCTGGGCACTCACGCCACTTGTGATGTTGAGGAAGTCATTAGGCTTCATCTCGATCACCTTCGACGAGTCTTCGATAACTGTTGTAAAGTCCTCCATATCTGCCACCACTCTACGACGCTTCAGGCTCTTGTTGCAGACCTGGTGGACTGCGTCCGCCGACATCGAAGTGTGGCCCTTTTGGAGGAACTTGAGGGTTACCTGATTCAGCATCTTACCAGGCTTGTTGACGGCCTGCATGAGGCCTGTAATAAGTATCCAATTTTTGTTCTGCCCGGAACAATTATCTAGCCAAATCGTGATGGCCTCCACATCTCGCTGCAGCTCGATGTACCGAACGAAGGCGGAACATACGTCAGCCGCGTCCCGCCCCGCTGTAGCCTCATGCCACACGATCGAAACAGCCTTCGGTTCTCGTTTGCCGAGCGGTGCAAACGTCTCGTTGTAAACCACAAGTCGAGACGTGAATATGGCGACTTTGTGCGGGAGCTGTGGCAGAAGGAAGATCCGCATCATATCTGCGGACACGACAAGCTCATTGCCTTCCCACACTCGTTCTGCGTCTTCCTTATAAGCGATCCGCGCCTCGTTTCTGTGCTTGATGTGCTGGATGTGAGCTTGGCAGTCAAGACACGTCCCATCGTTGTCCCTGCACGTATGCAGTGAATGTGCCGCGCATTCGGCACATTCCTCGTTACCAAGTTTTGTGAACCCTATGTTCATTTCAGCCATGGTTCGATGATATCTTGTTTCTGAGCATATGTTGGTGCCATGCATTTCTTGAAAATGTTTGAAGAGTATGGCTGTATTCAAATCCGGAGGCAGGTACCGCCGCTGCGGAGCGTGCAAATACCTATAATGAGGAGCAACTGGCTTAAATGACATGATGTGATGCTCGATGATTGCGCTGTCCGAGCTGTTACTTGGGGTCTTCCTTCCTCTGCGATCCATGGGGGCTGCTGGCTGAGAAGTGATACTGGCGAGGACTGGCTTGTCATTGCCGTTCTTAAAGCCCAAAGTTGCCAGGAAGAATATTTTGCATACGGGAACAGCTTTGGTGCCAACCGGGAGATGCCACCGAAGGACTCGTCTTCTTTTGTTTTCTTTTTGCTCATCTCCTGATTTCGACCCGCTGACCCGATCCGTTACGTAGCGACGGTACCACTCACGTCTCGCCGACCACGACAGTGAGTTTACTGCAGCATTGATCTCTTCTCGCACATTTTCCGGAACTCTCCGACCACATTTCAGCTGGCAGGTACCCTCTTTGCAGCCCACTGGCGCTGATAGGAGCAGATGCTTGGTTTTGAAGCCCTCAATTTTGTTTTGAGGAGTTCGTGCCCGTTGTCTTTTTTTAACTTTCGTATGGCCAGCGTCCCGGTCGCGCAAGTCTAGGCCAAAGTCGTGGGCTTGCGGGTCCGGGAGGCCTGCGTCCGGGGCTTGCATGTCTGCGAGGCCAGCGTCCGGGTCTTGCAGGTCTAGGCCAGCGTCGGGGGCTTGCAGATCCGGGAGGCTAGCATACGGAGCTAGGTCTGAGAGGCCAGCGTCTTGGGGTTGCAGGTCTATGAAGTTACTGTCTGTGGCTTCCATGTCTATGAGGTTAGTGTCCTGTTCGGTATGGATTGGTTCTGAGCGCAGTGACACATGTGGACTGGAAGTGACGGCAGGACAGAATTGGGCAGCTTCGTTATGACGTGCGTTTGACGTAGAGATGGGAGCGCTCTGGCTGTCACTGGTGTTGTTTATGGCAGAAAAATCGACCGAATGATTACTATCAAACAATACTGACATGTTACCAGTAAACCAGGACATCTCACTTGAACCATGGGGGATGTCTGGCGTGGCGCACATCTCAGAGCCCCGCGCAGTCACTGTAACAGTTGCTGGCAGAGTAGCCTCGGCGACCGCTAGAGTGGCGGCGGCGGTATCCGGCAGGGTGGCGGCGGCGGTAACTGATAGAGTGGTGGCGGTATCCGGCAGGGTGGCGGCGGCGGTAACCGGCAGAGTGGCGGCAGTATCCGGCAGGGTGGCAGCGGTATCCGGCAGGGTGGCGGCGGCAGTAACCGGCAGAGTGACGGCGGTATCCGGCAGGGTGGCGGTGGTATCCGGCAGGGTGGCTGCGGTATCCGGCAGGGTGGCGGCGGCAGTAACCGGCAGAGTGACGGCGGTATCCGGCAGGGTGGCGGTGGTATCCGGCAGGGTGAAGGCGGCAGTAACCGGCAGAGTGACGGCGGTATCCGGCAGGGTGGCGACGGTATCCGGCAGGGTGGAGGCGGCGATAACTGGTAGAGTGGCGGCCTTGGCAACCGGTAGCGGGGTCACGCTAGTACCTGGCGGATTGCTGGCTCCGGTACGCGATAGTGGGGTTATAGAAGCCGGAAGGGTGGCCACAGTAGACAGGCTGGCAGCAGTGCCCGTTGGAGGGGCCCCGGTAGGCATGCAGGTTGGGACGAGCTGCGTTTTCGCATCAGGGATATCTGAAATGCGAAAACACCAGATGTTCAAGGCTGGATGCTGGTTGACCTCAACCAACCAGTGAATGCGAGAGGTTGGGAACAGCTGGCCGGTCGGGGGTGAACGAATATAAACAAACGCCAGGGGACAGTGGTGTGCGAACTTTTCAAGAACTGTCCGTAAACACCAAACCTCGGATTTGAGAAAATGTATGCCAGTTTTAACAGCTGCGCAACAATCCATTCATGTCATAACACGACCAAAACAAGTAGAGCAATTCGTGTAGTGCGACTTGAAGCATGCTCAAGAATCGCATAGTTTAATGCGTACCAGCCTAACTAAGATGTCGTGGGTTCAAGTTCCCCCTTATTGGCTCTCAACAATAGACAAAGTCTATTGTGTCTCATACATGATGCGATTTATGTGCACTTTGGCCTCTCCGCAAGTGGACACGCTAACGGAAAGCGGCAATGCTCTGCAAAAGTAACAATTACTCTATACGGAAGGAGAGAGAGAGAGAAGAGATAGAGACCGACGAGAGAGAGAGAGAGACGAGAGAGTGAGAGAGATGAGAGAGAGAAGTGAGGAGAGGAGGAGACGAGATGAGAGGAATGGGAGAGGGGAAGAGGGAGTAGGAGAGGGAGAGGAGAGGGAGAGGGAGAGGGAGGAGAGGGAAGAGGGAGAGGGAGAGGGAGAGGGAGAGGGAGAGGGAGAGGGAGAGGGAGAGGGAGATGGGAGAGGGAGAGGGAGAGGGAGAGGGAGAGGGAGAGGGAGAGGGAGAGGGAGAGGGGAGAGGGAGAGGGAGGGAGAGGGAGAGGGAGAGGGAGAGGGAGAGGGAGAGGGAGAGGGAGAGGGAGAGGGAGAGGGAGAGGGAGAGGAGGAGAGAGAGAGAGAGAGAGAGAGAGAGAGAGATGAGAATGAAATGAACTACCCAGAAATATGTTTAACGGGCGGGTTTACATTAACAAAACGAATTGGGGCATTGCTATAAACGTGGATACATTGAACTGGATGCAGTTGACATTTCCTCGAGAAAATGTTAGAAACACCAAACGCTGCGTTCCGCATCACCTATTTTTCCAAGTAACCATATCACAGCCATGTGCAAGAGCTGCTTACCGAAAGCCAGGGCAAGTTAAAGACTGAAAACTTATGCATATGGCGAAAGCGCGACACCTGGGAGGGGGGGGGGGGGGGAGCAACGAGGACGCGGACTGAGCCACAAACTTTGAAAATGTATCATTGGACGTACCGGCACTTCCGAAAAAGTGACTATGAATGGTTGTCGCCCCCCCCCCCCCCCCAACTTGGGAGGAATCCCGCTCCCCCTGGCAGACAGGCTTCGTACGAATGCAAATGTATCTTAAGCATGTCAAGACTGATGGGTGAATATCAAACAGAATGTTTGTTAGGTGAATAGTATCGGTCATCACTTACCGAATGCCAGACGACGCTTTTTCTTTGCTGCAATCGTCCCGGTCCAGTATTTGCCGTTGTGTCTCAGTCGCACTCTGCCTCCAGCCTCCAGCGTTGACCCAGACATTAGTCGCATATCAGAAATAGCAACATAGTGCCATTCCCCGAAAGATGTGTCATCCCAATCTACTCTAACCACTCGTGGTTTTTTCCTCTTCCTTTCGTCCATGGTTGGTTCACTTAGGTCAAATTGGGTCAAATTGAGATATTTAAATTCTGGTTAAAACTCAGTCAGACACCTAGTGGCCAAGTTGTTCCGTCTTACGCGGGCTGGCCGAATCTGGCTATACGTCAGGTTTCGGAACGAGGAGTAGGCAGTTTATGTGATGGAGCAGAGGCGTAGCCAGGATTTTTACGGCGCGGGGGCGAGGCGATGTTCAGCGATAAATCACGGTGATTTTAACCCTGTGTGAGGAATCATCTTTGCTACTCACAGAAACATCCAGGCCTCGGGGATCCCAGATTGGGCCCATTGCTCCCCCCCCCCCCCCGATCCCTGCCTGCGCCTCTGTAATTATGCACGTGCAACCGGCAGCACGCGCAATCGTCACGCAGCCGTAGTACTACTTCTGAGAATACGTGTTTCTTGCGACGGAAAATGCATTGGTATCGGGAGCGCTTTTGGCCGGCAAAAAGCCGTATGTCCCATTTTGTTCGGATGCGGCTTTTTGCCTGACGGAAGACTCCTCTTGTGGACCAAAGCACAGTGAACAAAGAGCCGTATGTGCCCTGTGCAGTAGATACGGCTTTTTGTCTGGCTGAAATCGTACTTGCGGCCTTTTGTCTGCCGTGCATCACGGTCAGTTAGCGCGATGCGGCTTTTTGACAGATCATACACACTTATAATTCGAAATACAAAACGCGCGTAAGTGTATGCTCGCCACCATCAGAGGCGTCTTCGCGAAAGCTTCAAAATGACACCAAAAACGAAAAATCGGTGAAAATCGAGTCACGGCTTTTTGCCTTTTGACGGCAGAACTTTGGCACTGTGCAATATGTATGCCCATAGTTTCTTGAACAACTGAACAGCATGTTTGGGCATGGCATCTATAAGATGGCCCGACATGGCACATCATGATGTGATGACAATTTGAACCAGACTAGTGCATTACGTCAAAGCAATCCAGAGAAATAAAGACTCTTCAATGTTGTCTGTAGAACGGTAGCCATCTCCCCAAGCATTAACAAGGGAGAAGAACAAAACTCAGCCGGTGATCTCTGATCATCGAAACATTTGAAACCAAAGTGTATTGCGGTGGGGGCTGCTTTTGACCGCTTTAGTATCCGTGGGTAAAAGACGCGTTTAACCGGAGTCGGAGTCACGATAGTGTGGATCTCAGAGGCCCATTAATTATACAAATCGGGCGACCTCTCGCGAGTGGGGAGTCAGGTGACCTGCTCCGGCTTGCTTCGTCTGCGATTGTGACCATGATGGCAAGTTGAAGTTTCATCGCTGACGTTACCGTTGTCAACCTTGAAGTGATCCTGACAGTCGATGAAACGTAAAGCCCAATCAGTGTTATTATTAGACATTGCCAGCCCTTCGATTTGTCGTCGGCACCTTCATAAATCAGCAGCACGGCAAACTGCGGTACAAAATATGAAGCATTCTTTAGACCTCGTGTCCCATTGTAACATGTGTCAGGTTCTATCGTAGTGTCGGCGGCGAGTCGAAGAGAAAAACAGCAGTCAGTGCCATTTCCTGAACACATAGCATGTCGTCGTCTTTCCCGGCTGAGTTGTGTGGACTTGGTATGCCAGCCGGCGCGTGCCGCAGGCGACGGTGGCCGCGTTCGCTGCCTCCGAGGGCCACGCTCACCCGCGCGTCATCCAGCTGCCCAAGACGGACGAGGGTCTCGGCTTCAACGTGATGGGCGGCAAGGAGCAGAACTCGCCGATCTACATCAGCCGCATCATCCCGGGCGGCGTGGCTGACCGGCACGGCGGCCTCAAGCGCGGCGACCAGCTGCTCTCCGTCAACGGCGTGTCGGTGGAGGGCGAGCACCACGAGAAGGCCGTCGAGCTGCTCAAGGCCGCCCAGCACGCCGTCAAGCTGGTGGTGCGCTACACGCCGCGTGTGCTCGAGGAGATGGAGATGCGCTTCGACAAGCAGCGTTCTGCCCGCAGGCGGCAGCAGTATTGAACGGTTAGTCGGGCAAGAGGGGGGGGGGGGGGGGGGGGCAGACGCAGGTGTGCCGCGCCGCAGGTCCGGGCTTAAACGAGCTAGTCGGCCGAAGGTGGTGACATGCATCACGCAGAGTTACACTCGTGCCGGCATGGTGGCGCTGGCTTTTTCGACATGGCTAAGTGTGGCATGTGATCGTGGAGACTGATACAGTCGGTAACAAATATGTGGTGATGTAGTAAAAATCTTGCAAGCAGTTGGGGAAGGTGCCGAAGCTCCGCTTAACCTTGCAAGTGATCGCCCCAGGGGTGTTGATTCAAGCATACCAAATCCCTGCCTCAAGCCAATCATGAAGCTGTGCTTTGTCTCGTTACTCCGCCCGCCTCTCAACGAATTCGGAAAAGTGGACACATAGCTAACCCCTGATGTACACAACTTTGGTGACGTGGTCGGCTTTCAGCCATATGTGAGCTGCCGTCGCCGCCGCTCACGGTCGGTCTGTGCCTGCCGCAGGAGGTGCAAAGGAAGACCCATCGTCGGCACAGCGAGTGCGACGGCTGCCCATGGCCACGACAGTCAGCGGTAGAGGAGAGCTCCGCCGTCGGTAGCGGGGTCACGCGCCCGGCCTCACAAGATTGTCCCCGATAGCCGTCTGCGCCACTCCAGCGGCGGCGATCCTGGCGGTGGCGGCGTGACGGTTATTCCACGTGGTAGAGCGGCGTGTTGCGGTGTGTGGTGTCCGTGTTGGTTTTCGGCCGGCTTGGCGCGAGTTCTGGGTTCAGTGCAGGAGGTGGTCGTGGTACGGGTTTTGTTGCGGAGCACCTGGCGGCAACTAGTCGCACATCCGTAATGTTTCGGCCGCTGCCAGTGTCGGCCGTTCTGTTCATTCTCCCGCCGCACGCACGTGAGGTCGTGTGTGTTGAGACTAGAGGCGCCATTTAGAAGTTCCCTGTATCCAGCAGGTTAGAGGTGTAGTTCAGATCCGATTCACGTTGTCTGATCACAGGACTGTGTATAATAGGCACCACTCGGTGCACACTGTTGTGCAATCACTGTCGGCCCTGTGGTGTAGGTGGGCCGCCGCCAGCGGAGCGGTCACGTGACGGCCGGCGAGCCGTGCGGCAGTCAGCCCTCCCCCCAACCTCCGCCTTGGGGTACAGCAGGTCCACATCTTCCCCCGGGGTGACGCTGGTGTGTCGGTGATCGCTACCAGACGCCGCCGCCGCCCGTCAGCAGTGCCGCAGACGGTCCGTGTGATGGCGGCGACGCAGCTCGTCCTGCTTCACTTCTCAGCACGTCAGATGCTGCATTCAGTTCCGATCATTTTCTAATTTTGTACTGCGCTGCTGCGTGTTTAGCGTTGGGTTGGCCCTCGTTCGGGAGTACACACTTCCCTACCGCCGTCCGGTCACCAGGGGTCTGCGCGAGCCAGTGTTCAGTTCTGCTGTGATGCGGGTGTCGGTGTTCAGTTGACATTCGCAAAGGTCTTTTCATTGTTTATGGGCAAACGGATCCTGTTCAGAATCCCGTTCACACGGTTTCTCTGAGCGTTCAGTTGTGTGGTCACAAAGTCCCGTCAGCTTTCAGTTACGCATTCACAAAGATCGAGCCTGTGCTCCGTTCCCGTGCACGCGGATCATGTCGGTGATTCTATGTCGTACGAGTTCCATAAGTGTTCATTAGCTCGGAGTCATGGCTCCTCTCAGCGCTGTCGGGTGCAGCTCAGCCGAACCCGGTCGGGGTGTGCTGGCCGGGTCACCGTCATCGGGGCATTGCGACAACATCATGGCTTGCAGCAGGTCCAGTGGTAGTTGACCCTCTTTCGGTGACCGAATACAATTTGCTGTTCCATCGGCGAGCTCGGTGTTCTCTCGTTGGCACGGTGCTTATAATTGACGATGAATTGCTGGTGTGGCGGCGATACTTCTGTCAATGTGCCCACATGGGGCCCACATGTGAAGCATGCGGGACGGATGGGCATGTGTGTGTATGGGGCTGCAAGCGGGCTCCAGCGCATGGTCCCATATGAGCCACCCATATTCGTATATTTTCGCATGTGCTAGAAACGGTGTACTGTGTTGCATCGTTGAGGCTCGTCACATTAAGTGCCGTGATCTGCGAGGGGATGGTTAATACGCTGGGATCCATATGTGAGACAAATCGTTTCTACGAGCCCGGGCAAGATTACGAATAATTGCGACGGATATGTCTTTCATCAAGTTGTGACAAGTTATGTCTTGTCAAGTTATGGTCATTGAATGCTGCTAGCCTAAACTCCGGCAGCCGCCGCTAGGTTTTTACTCGCATTTCTGCACTTGTATCTGACAAAGCTGCTCTCACGACGTTATGTTTCTGTTCGAACTCGGATTTCTGCCTTGATAATCGGCATAACTGCTTTTGTTACGCAGGTATGTTTTTTAACTCGCCTTTCTGCACTAGAAGCCGGCATAGTTGCTCTCATGATCATACGCGATACAGGACTGAAAACTAGATCAGTTTTCCTATTACTGAAAACTGTTCAAGAATTCTCACCTACACCCGGAACGTGTAGTATCGATTCGGCGCGGTGAATATCACTTCGCGGGCCATCCAGCGCAACACATCTAGCCGCAGTGTCTTCCGCAACGGGGTGGAGAGGGTGTTAGCTGCTGGGAAAATGGCTTCGGCGGGAGGGGCTGCGAAAGCGCAGGGAGCGCCACAATGGCAACGGCAGCAACGGCAATACAAAGAGTGGGCGTTCAATCCTGTGGTGATCGTCGCATCGGACATGAAAACAAAATTGTACATTTTGTACATTGGTGCTGTTAACTAGGTAATTTCGCACAAATACTTTGTGAATAAATCTTGATCTGGCCTTTACTTGATCATACGAAGCAGTCTCTGGAATTTGGGTGTTCCATCAATCAGATGGGCTGTACAAGGGAGAGCGGTGGTGTCTAACTGGAGCTATCTGAGTTGTTGGTATGGGTCTCATCTGGGATCTTGTATGGGTGCCATCTGGGTTGATTATTTGGGTCCCAGCTAGATATGCCCATGTGGGTTCCAATTGAAAGCCCAGAAAGGGTGCGTGTGGGTCCCAGTTAGGCCTCACGTGGGCCCCAGGCGGGCTGCCCATGTGGAACCCAGTTGGTTGCCCATGGCATGCCTACATGGAACCGAAATGGGCAGCCCAGGTGGTCCCATGTGGCTGCCCATCTCAGACCCTCATCGCTTCCAGTGGGACATGTCGGCTGGGTGGTAAGAGGTAACTTTCTCATGATTTATAATTTGTGGATCATTTTAAAGCTGTCATATGGTGTATATTCCGTGTTATTGCATGATGCCTCCGCTCACGGATATCAAACACCATATAAGGACCTACGTCTGGTTCTTGAGTACGGGCTATGACCATTCGCCTCAATGCTTGCTGGACAGCCAACTCAGTCAGCCCGGCAGGTTACACGTCACTTGTTCCGCGCGATACTAGCGCCACCTATGCTGACGAGGCTGGGCGACCGGGCGCCAATCGGCAGTCGTGCTAAATTTTGCTGAAGAGAGGGGTGGGGATGAAGTCGATGGACGACCCCTTCACAAGTTTTACGACGCAAATGCTTGAAATAAGGTTCGAAACACACCGTGTTGCCAAGATGATTGCATCGAAGTCATTGCAGATGTTGGGCGACAAACGGTCGACCAGTCTCTCGGAGTCAGAAAATGACAGTGGAACGCATGGCAACAGATCATCACTTTTCTCGTTTATAGAACCGGGTTGCTTTATTACTTTCATACGAAGAGAAGAAAAAAACTAGGCATCGGGCAAAAACGTTGGACATTCACTCGGTCTTGAACCAGAAGTAAAGCTCGTTCAAAATGCGACTTAATGCGCTTTTAATGTAAACATGTTCCGTGACGAAGCACATAAACATCGGGATATTTATCACACGTCTCAGCGGCGCCAATTTGGATTCAGGGAGATTTCGAGCCGGATGTACTGTCACCGCAGGGGCAATCCCCGACTGACGTCACGTGACTTCACCGGCGTCTGAGCAGCAGACACTGCCTCCCTGGGGACAGCCGCGGCCGGGTGAGACCGGTGTGGGGTGGTGCATGTCCTGGTCCGAGCCCCACACTGTTAATGGATCAACATCCGCAATGTAGCGTTGTAATGGGAGCCTACGTTGTTTGCCACATTGGGTGAAGATTTTGCATCGCTCCTGAATCAACATTTACAAGTCATTTTGGAAGTCCTGACGAACGTTGGACTCCACTCCTGTTTATCCTAATTTTCGTACGCTTCAGATCTTGGTACCTGATCAGGCATAGGCGGATCCTGCGGGGGGGAGGGCACGGGGCCATGCCCCCCCCAAAAACAGAGTATGTTTTGCCCCCCCCCCAAACATTCCCAGAACTTCATAAAAGTTTCGTCTACTTACCTCAAAAGATGTACCTCAAAATAATAGCTTACATAATAGCAAATACATAATAGCAAAATAATACCTCATAATGAGGGTTACGAGTTTTGTAAATATGCATGCTGCATATAAAAGATTCAAAAGCATTTCGGTGCTTGAATGGTGTCCCTACTGGGTACTCGCGAGAGGCGCCATGCACTGGACCTCGGACCTCACACCAGCCAGCTGGCGACGAACGGTTGCCCTCTCCCCCCAAACAAAAAATTTCAGGCTAGATCCGGCCCTGAGATCGGGCCGCTGTTTTCTTAATACTAGTGCGAAGGAGCTTGTCTTTTTGTGATACCAACTCCTCCATATGCTGCGCCAGTCTGCTTATGACAGTAGACTCGCATACATAACACTTCGATCGGACGGCGAATGGAGTGCAACATCCCGCAGTTTTTAAAGTCGTAGAAAGAAAAGCAGGCACAAGAAAAAATACGCTCAGCATGATAGCATGGGGTACCCCGGAAAGCCGATTGTTGAGCTGGGCTGGGCATTTGCTGGTCAAGGTCACTGTCTGGCAAGTCTGACCACTTGACATACACCCTCGTTCTTATGGTAATTATGGTTATTCAACCATGCCGACCGCGCGAGTTCTACAGCACCGCCGGTTGCCGTCCACCGCCCGCACCGGCCGCAGATCGCCGTGCAGTGCCCCCCCCCCCCCCCCTCCAAAACCACCGCTGCTCCGAAACCACAACAGCAGGGACACCTTTTTTGGTGTCAAACAGGTTCAAAGTGTGCCCCATAAGCTATTGAACATTTGGGTGCGATTGCACAGCATACCGCAAAGGTATCCCCCAAAACCTTAGAGGTTGCATCGACCCTCCCCCCTCCTATCAGTAAGCTGTTGCACCAAATTCTGCCGTTTACCTGTAACTGTACGTTTGGATGTTGCGAATGAGGGTACTGCTTAGCACTGCTTACCAGCACTGCTTAGCGTATGCTCTGATTCCAGAAATTCGTCCATTAAAAATATTCGCATATAACCGTCATAAGAAGTTTTTCGGGCTCCTGCGATGCCTCGAGTTTTGACACCTTGAGTTTCACTGGGCTTCATATCTGTCCCGGTTCTACCCTCCTACCATATCACACCAAAAGTACGTCCGCTCATCGCTGAGTTTCCCGCCACAATTAGTACCGTACCGGCCGCGTGGTGGCGCTGGTGTCTTCGCTTCGACTGCAGCAGCGGGCAGCGATCAATAGCAGAAGCGCAGTCGCGTGGTGCACGCGGGTGGGGGGAGGCGTCCGCCGGCCGCGGTCGTGACCTGTGCGCCATGCTGGTGATGGAGGAGATCGCGCCCGAAGGAGGGGTGCGGGGGGAGGTCGTAGCCCACCCGGCGCTGGGCCAGGCGGCACGGCCGCCGCCCTCGTGTCGTCGACGCCTCTTCGCGGCGACGTGCCCAGACTCCGACAGCCGACTGCTGCGGGATGAGCTGCAGGCCATCTACGAGCGCCAGCGGCTGCGCTGGAACTTTGACTTTGAGCGGGAGGAGCCGCTGCCGGGCCGCTATCAGTGGGAGTACGTGGGCGGCGACCGGCAGCGGGCATTCCCGACAGGACGGAAGGCCGGCAGAGGGCCAGTCAGTGACCTGACCCCCGCCGCTGCCGACCAGACCTCTCCAGCCGCTGACCTCGCCTCGTCGGCTGCTTCTCCGTCCGCCGTGGCCGATCTGACCTCTCCCGCTGTCGACGTCACCTGTCCGGTCGCTGACCTGTCCTCCCCGGCTGCTGACCTTCCCTGTCCGGCCGCAGACCGGACCTCTCCGGCTGCTGACGTCACCTGTCCGGCTGCTGGCCTGACCTCTCCAGCTGCTGGCCGGCGCCACCCACCAGCTGATGCACCGGCTTCAGATAGGACGCTGCGTCAGCAACACATCACAGGTCAGTGACCCGGCTTATTCAAAGGTCATCAGGTCACAGGTCGGTGGGCTGGTGGGGCACTGTTCTTCAAGCACGAGGCAACCTGGGGGGTTGGCAGGGCCTAGATGCGGAGCTTTTTACCTATGTCGTCAGTGGCCAGCATCAGCAGAGGCCAGATGGGTCGGCGGTCAGAAAGTCACGTCAGACCGGTTAAGGTACCAGTGGGCGGGCTTTTGATCCATGCTCTGGTGCATAGGCAGGTCTCTGCGTAGCGACATGGCGAGAAATAGGCAATGCTTCATAAACCCGCATCATCCGGCTTGAATTGCACTGGCCGTTGCCCTTAGCCTTACCCTTCGCGCTGTGCCTCTGCGGCTTTTTGACCGGGCCAGATTAAACGATGACAGATATGCGTCACAGCAGACACCGCCATGCCCATGTCCTAACCCATTCGTCGGTTTCTTGCACAAGGGTACGGAGGTTTTTCCGTGGCTGCGCTTATGTGCTCCCCCCCCAAAAAAAGGGGTTGAGTGGAAGCCAAAAACCACACCCAACATGGGCACCCTGCTCGCGCGCCCGTTTGTTTGTCTGGCTTCCAGATCCGTCCCAAACGCCTGATCCTTCCGTCACAACTGTCTATGCCCGATTTGGCGCTCGGCTCACGCATCCGGCACCATGACATCATGCATGACGGAGTCTGCCCCCCGATCTGGGAGCCCTCCTCGCAGCGGCTGCTGACAAGAAAACCGCGGCGCCGGGGCACGCGCGGCCGCACCATGATTCAGGCTCGAACAAGCGCTAGTGGGGCGTTTGGCGAGCCCGGGCCGCCGCGGGCGTTGTCCGGCGGCGGGCGGCGCGGCCTCGACGGCGGCGGAGTCGGCGCACTGGTCCCTTGACCGTGCGCTCATAGGGCCGGGTGCGGCGGCCACGGGGCACCCCTCCGCGCAAAACTCGTGTCAACGACGTTTTTTGCAGAGCCAACGTCGAAGCTGGCTTGCGCCTTTTAAACGCGCCTGTTATTTTGGGTTGGTTAGTAGACGGTTAACCAAATCCAGCCGTGTCTGTATGCACCTTTGCCGTCCTGCTTTACTCGCCCTTCCGCTTCACTTGTTTAATGTTTGTGACTGACCTTATTCGTTTGGTTGCGTTTTGGCAGCATGCCCTCAGCCCTGCATAGCCGTGTGTGTGCCAGTGATGTTACGACGGACCGGGGTCTGTGCCGATCCGGAGGGTCAGGGTGTGCTGACCTCACACCGATCTCCTCCGCTGCAGATTGTCTGAGGACCAGGAGGCAGCGTCAGGCGGGGTCACCGCAGCCGGCTCCATCTGACAAGAGAGCCACGTCTGAGACCCCACTGCCGACGAAGAAGCAGTGTTTCGAGGTCCCCGCGAGTGCTAACGGGGCTGAGGAGCCTCAGTAGCGTGCGCAGGCGGCGGACAGCGGCCTGGTTCCGGGAGGGTTGCGTGGACCCCAGGACCACGGCGCCATGGCGGTCTGCTGAGGTCTGCGGGACCGCCGGCATCTGTGACGTCACTGGTGTTGGACAGCCTGCGTCCTCCGGCTGATGAGTGGGACGTCGCTGGCGAGCGTCAGTCCAGCTAGACGCCGGGAAGCTCCCGTGTGTTGCGTCTCTCGGCACCGGACAGTGTTGTTGGTTGGGTGGGTCGGTGCGAGCTTCAGGGCGTATCGCTGCCCCCAGAGTCCGGGTCACCATTATCCCACCCGCTGCTGGGCGGGTTTCTCCGGCTCCGAACTGTGCGGAGGTGGCGACGAGAGTCTTGGTCTGACGCATACTGTCCATCGCCAGAGACCCGCTTCAAGCTGGTGAATAGTGACACTGCTGGACGAAAACACCGGCGTGGAGTGGTGATTGGTGCATGCCCTTGGACAGTGCAAGGAGTACAGAGAAACGTGCGAAATTGTACTATGCGGCCCATTGCTCTTAAGCCCTTGTGTGTACGCTGTGGTTTTTCGTATTCAGCACGCAGATAAACGCGCAGCACTTTTGATTGTGATAATGAGACTATGGCTTCCCAAAACAGCATTAATACACCGCAGGGTCATGCGTATCATCAAACTAGCAATTATATTGGTATCGGTGGTTTGTCGGTTTCCGTGTACGATTGTCTAGTCGACTGATCTCATGTGCGAGCGCTGCGATTTATTTACTTGTTGTGAATGTTGTGGTTTGATTGTTGCGACATAATTATATTCCTGGAAATATTTAAGATATGTTTATGTAATGCGCTGTACGCTCATTTATGGCAGATACTCTGTTATTATGCAAGGACTTGTCTGAGTGGCTGCATGGGGCGTTGTATTGGCGAATCCTCTGTTTCTTTATGAACACGTGCGTTTACCGACTGCAGCTGATACATGACATTTTCCAAGCACTGTTAACGCGTTTGGTTATTTTGCCCCTAGTACGAATAAATCTGATGACTCGTCGAAACGCAATTTTCGTAGGGAAACTTGGAAGGTTAGCTTGCTTACTAAGTAAAGTTAGCATTTGAGGTCTCTTTTCAGCATGGGATCAGCCGAATGAGTTACCTGCAGGTCACTTACTAGGTATCGCAGTAGTTAAAAGGGATTTTGCATTGTTTGCTATAGGACCTCATTACGATGGCTAGGTAACGCAAATACCGCGGCCGGAGAAGCGTATCGTTGAGAAGTATCGTTCTTACCCCTTTGTTTTTGTTCTTCCCCTAACCCGTTCTGAGCACATGACGTGTTCCAGCGCCGTGCCCTGCACTCTCAACGCCTCAACGGCCATGGCTGCAGATCAGAGACGTCGGTAGATGCCGGATCATTTGTGGTAGCGGCTGGGAACGAACGAGTGGAAGAAGGCAGAATACAGTCATACAGAGCGCAGCCTGTCCAACAAAGAACTACGTTGTATAGTCGCAAACCTTTTTGCGCAATGGTTACCAACGAATCTGCCTGTTTGATGCTTGCTAAAATCTGCAGGCCGTCTTATTGCATTCCCCGTTCATTAAGACTCATCTGCAAAACCTTCTCTTTTAGTTGTGATTTGGACAGGGCATTCCAACATTAATCTAAGACCTTTGTTTTCAACCGTCCTGCCGGGCCTATATTTGAACGCAGACAAAAGTATGATAGTGTTTCCTCTGTTGCGGATAAAGCTACAATCAATAAGAGGAGCCGAACGAATTGACCCGACCCCTCCGCTGATAAGCAGGTCAAATTGGCCGTCTTTGCTGAGCAGGTCAGAGGCCCACAGTGAGCGCTGACGCAGGGCGGCAGGCCGACACAGCAGGGCAGGCCGGCCAGCAGTCTGCTGCAAAGCCGCCGACCGGCTGGAGCGACGTGTTCGGGCTTGCCCGCCGCTGTCGGCGGCACCCGTGCACTTCGCACCCGTGTCTCGGCGCTATCACGAGCCCCTGCACTCGGCCGAGCCGAGCGTGCAGCCGATATTGCGGCCGCTGCAGACGTCGCCCAGTGTTGCTTGGAAAGTGGGTTACAGTCGTCTCAGTTTTACGCTCAGCTTCGTTCCGCGGCCTTCATCGCCCCGGTCTGTGCTCTGCGCACGACGAAGCTCGAGTCCCATAATAGAAATACATTCGGGCTAGTTTGCGACTGCAGCCGTCGGCTCGGACCCATTGCGTCATCTCATGCAACTGCATCCCCGCTTGGCTGCGAGCGCGCGTACTGCGCGTGGATGTGAACGTTCTACGCGCAATCCACAGTCGCCGCCGACTCCGGGTGGGTGATCATCGCAGTGGCAGCAGGCCGCGCTACTGTCGCCAGGACTGTGATGGGCAGCGGGATCGGACAGTGCCTTCAAATCAGCGTGGGAGTGAGGACGGACGGCGGCACACTTCCGGTCAGGGCCGTGGCAGCCGGCGCCGACTTCGAACGGAGCAAGTGACGGAGCGGGCTGCTGCCGTCTCTCGTCGCCAGAGGCCCGTCACCGTCCACAGAGGTATGCCATTGTGTCATTGTGTCCAGGAAACAGCCGTCCTGCTCGTAAACCTGCAGCTGTCTCCAGATGCCCTGGTCCACCGGTCTCCCCATGGTCCTGCCACCGTCTCCAGGGATGTTCTACCGTCTCCCAGCGATTGTCACCGGCTCCAGGGCCTTGGCACCGAGTATAGAGATTTCCCCCTGTCTCCAGGCTTCCTGAAAAGTCCCACCGTCCAGCGTTGTTTCCGAAGGTCTGCCCATGTCTTCAGAAGACTGGCAGTCGACGGAGACCTGTCATTGCCTCCAGATGGCTACCTGGCCTCTTCGGAAGCCGCCAACGTCTGCGGAGATCCACCACCGAATGTATGTCACTGTCTCAAAACATCCGCGGTCCCTGTCTCAACACGTCCCCCCCCCCCCTCCGTCGCCGTCACCGCAGATTCCGGGGCGTACATGCGACCGTTGCCGCGTGCTCATGCATGTCCCAGCGCACACGGTGACTCAGTTGCCACCCAGCCGCAGACCGCGGGGAGGGGCTGTCGTGGCGGCCGATAGCGGGACGAAGGTCGCGCCGAAAGCTGCACAGGTGTGTACTCCCTGTTCGGACATGCACCGGGAGCGGACCGGTCCGGGGCCTCGGCCACAGCCACCGCCCGTGAATCATGTTCGGGGAACTCTCCGGCGGACGGGACGTCGGGGCGGGCTGGGCCCCAGTCTTCCGGCCGGAGGCGGACCCGTGGGCGTGTCGTCTGCACCCGCAGCGGAAATGGTCACGTTTATGCATGGCAGGGAGCAGCACAGCCTTTGACCTATTTCATTTATGAAACAGTGCCTGTGTTAGAGTCTACCAAATGTTTATGTCTATGTGGTGTCTATGTAGTGTCTGTTAAATATCTATCAGTATGTGTCTATGTGTGTCTTGAGAGGGGAGACGAATGTGAAACATCAAAGCAAGGTGAACAAAAAAATAAGAATTTGCATTTAGCAGCCCCGACTAGGGCCTGCTAAATGGAAGAACCTGGCGCCAACCAGCAATGTTTTAAAGATATTGCTGTTGGTACATGACGGAAAACAACTACCGCCATGCAGTTGCAATCAAGGCCTCCATGCCTGATGTGCCTTCAGACACACGGCACCGGATGCATCTTGCGCCCCGGTAACGATTAGTGTAACAACCATTTCCATTTTTGTTCAGCGTTGGTTCATGCCTCTACATGCTGTGCGGAGGCGAAAACGCGCCTTTTGCTGATGATATGCTTGGCTTCAATATCATTAGGCTTGCACGGCCGAATCTCACCACCAGGAGAAAGTTTACGGTATGCCTAGGTATGGGCATGACATTTGCTAGAAGATACGCAACTGATCGACGGCGGCATACCACGGTAACGCTAGTCATTACGATAATCGTGCGTGTCCAGGTATGGCTCCTTTGAACTGCCCATTAGCAGGGTAGGCTAGGCTGAATAGTTAACTGCTCATTTTCGCCAGATTTGTCGTCCTTCATTGCCACAAAAACTAGACGCGTCGGCTGGTCACATATTTGGGCTGTGACTCACCACACTTGAGTGAACAAAGCCCGAGCCATGGCGTGGGTTTGTCGTCAGTGCCAGTCCGGTCATGTTTCTGCAGATTCACGGTCGAAATGGTCACTTCTGAGCGAAAACTGATCAGCGGATTGTGTCAAGTGTAGATGTCTGATGTTAAGGAATGTATACGCTCAGAAATGCACATCGTTGTTGACCGCAAATGTGTAAACCCACACTTTTGTTTATCATGCATTGATAATGAACATTATTTACATATTGCTTGTGCTGCAGGCGACGTTATACTTATTCAAATCGTTGCCGTATATACATCGTATACTTACTGTTACTTGTATACGTTCATGCTTACCAAACTGTTTTGCCGTACCCATACATCTACGTTATGTGTTTGCAATGACTAGTGTTACCGTGGTACGCCGTCGTCGTTCAGCTGCATATCTTCCAGCGAGTGCTTGTTGAAACGGAATTCCTGGAGTTCCACGGTCGTCAGCACAACGCAAGATGGCAGCTTTAACAGGGACCGGTGACAATGACCCTGATGATACACAAGCGTGAACATAGATGAGAAATCACAGACCAAGTGCAGTCATTCAGCATCGCTGCGTGGACACAGGCCACCATCGGAGGTCGCGTTGCTGGGCTGATGGCTAAATATCTACAGGTCGAGCTAAGTTCCGAGAGTCAATATCTACAGGTCGAGCTAAGTTCCGAGAGTCATTGAGCCAGCCAAGTCTTGCATACTTTCCCATGCCACTGGGGCAGGCCAGGGTGGTCTCCCACGGCCTCTGACCTGTGCCTGTCCGGCTGCTGACCGCGAACGGGTTGTCCCGCGCTCTGGCCGTCGGCCTCACATGGCCTAAACCGGGGGCGGGCTTTCCCGCGCTCCGGCCGTCAGGCTCACACGGCCCGGACCGGGGGCGGGCTGTCCCGCGCTCTGTCCGTCGGTCTGACACGGTCCGGACCGGGTGCGGGCTGTCCCGCGCTCTGGACGTCAGCCTCACACGGCCCGGACCGGGTGCGAACTGTCCCGCGCTCCTTCCGTGGATTGCACATGGCCCAAACCGGGGGTGGGTTATCCCGCGCTCTGACCGTCGGCCCCACACGGCTCGGACCGGGTGCGAGCTGTCCCGCGTTCCGTCCATCGGCTTCACGGCTAGGACCGGGGGCGGGCTTCCCCGCGCTCCGTCCATCGGCTTCACGGCTAGGACCGGGGGTGGGCTTTCCCGCGCTCTGTCCATCGGCTTCACGGCTAGGACCGGGGGCGGGCTTCCCCGCGCTCTGTCCATCGGCTTCACGGCTAGGACCGGGGGCGGGCTTCCCCGCGCTCCGTCCATCGGCTTCACGGTTAGGACCGGGGGCGGGCTTTCCCGCGCTCTGTCCATCGGTTTTACGGCTAGGACCAGGGGCGGGCTTTCCCGCGCTCCGTCCATCGGCTTCACGGCTAGGACCGGGGGTGGGCTTTCACGCGCTCCGTCCATCGGCTTCACGGTTAGGACAGGGGGCGGGCTTTCCCGCGCTCCGTCCATCGGCTTCACGGCTAGGACAGGGGGCGGGCTTTCCCGCGCTCCGTCCATCGGCTAGGACCGGGTGCGGGCTGTCCCGCGCTCTGTCCGTCGGTCTCACACGGTCCGGACCGGGGGCGGGCCGTCCCCCGTTCCGTCCGTGGGTTGCTCACAGGGAGCTAGAATCACTTTTGAACTAGGGTGAGAGTGAAACAAATTTCATCGCAAAAAGACCGTGCGGGAGTGAAAAAATCAATTCACAAAGATGAAACTTATGACCTCGTGACTGATGCCTCAGTAAACAAAAACATCCATTCAAGTTGGCATGGACGTAATATCAGGAACCTGACAACGCCTTTTCGTTTTTAAGCATCTTAGGCCATTAAAGTGAAACGGAATACATAAACACGCGCTCGGGTGGGGGGGTGGGGGGCAAATTGACC